GGGTGGGGGGCGCTTTACATGGGATCCTAGCAAGAGTGGCGATGCTTCTTGGGCAGTGGGTGTCCCCGAGCAGCCTTGGAGCCCACTGGTGCTCAGAGCTGAGATGGTGAATTAGGGGTGCAGGAGATTTAGGTGGGATGGGCGGGGGGCTGGGAGTGTGCTCAAAACCTGTGCGTCACTTTGACCAAGAGCCTTGTGAAACTCGAACATGACCTCATCTACAGAGACAGCCTCTTTAGCCCCAGTTTGGTTTTATTAATATTGTCTCTGTCTTTCAAAGGCAGCGTTTGTACCTGAATTTTAACACCCAGCTTTTGAATGCAGTGTGTATGCAGCATCTTCTCTTGGGTGGGGTTTGTCTTCTGACTTGGGAGGGCAGGTCTGCCTGCTTTCACAGCCTCGCATTGCAAACCGTGTTTCTATTTTATGATCTCTGTTATCTGTGCATTTATTCATTCGTTATTCCACACATTTACAGTAAACCTGCTAGCTCCTGGAAATACCATGGTGAACAAAATAAGCGGTCTCTGATTATGACTCTTGATTCCTTTTCTTTTCCTTTCTTATTTTACCCTCATATCCTGCAATGTGGCTGCTTAACATCGTATATGGAAGACAGTCTTTATGTGACATAAATGGATATATTTTACTTTCTGTTGCTCTTAGCGCTTAAACATTTTTAGGGATTCCCTGGCAGTCCAGTGGTTAGGACTTGGAGCTTCTGCTGCAGGGGCTCATGTTCCGTCCCTGGTCTGGGAACTCAAATCATGCCTGTGTGTGTGCTGAGTCGCTTCAGTCGTGTCTGACTGTGACCCCAGGGACTGGAGCCCGCCAGGCTCCTCTGTCCATGGGATTCTCCAGGCAAGAATACTGGAGTGGGTAGCCATTCCCTTCTGCAGGGGATCTTCCCGACCCAGGGATCCAACCCACGTCTCTTACATCTCCTTCATTGGCAGGCAAGTTCTTTACCACTAGCGCCACCAAGATCGCGCATGCCGTGTGGACAAAAAAAAAAAAAAATTTTTTTTTTGTATTTTTATTGTTGGTGGTTGTGTTCTTTGGGGTGTGGGTAATTTAACTTTTATTAAGGTGGTTTGGGTGTGTTAGATACTCAACACTTGGGCCGTTAGAGCATTCTTCTTTGTTTGGGAGCATATAACCACTTGTCCCTGACAGATTGTGCGGTCCTGACATAGCTGGCAGGAAGATCAGCTCTAAACATTGCAAGATAAATCATTTCCACATTCTTGCTTAAGTGGCCATTTTAGTGTGAGAAGCACATTTTCTGTGGAGCGCCAGCACCAGTGTCTCCTTGACCCAAGGTCACAGCAGTTTTTGAGCAACAGAGGCAAGACGGCTCAGGAAGAGCTCCACAGATAAGAAGAGATCCCGGAGAATTTCAAGTTTTCCCTTTGAAGAGCTAGTGGAAAAACACTCATTTGAAACCGTGTAAGTCACATCCATCAGTAATGTCAATAGGGACTCTTAATTTCTCCTTATTTACTGACACACCAGGATGACTGTCTGGGTTTCCTAAGCCTTAGCTGAGCGGTAGGTGTTCTTCTAAGATACCTCAGTTCAAAGAGCTCAAGACACTGAGACAAAGCTACAGAATTCAGTAGACCCCCCATCCTTAGTGATTTTTGTAGCAGATGCACATGGGCACGCTTCACATGGAAACATCGGTGGCCAGCATGTGCGTGGACACCAGTGTAGTGTCAGGGCCCCTCCCTGCCCTGCCCCTCCTTGCCCTGTCGGAACAGACGATGAGCCCGCTCTGGGAGCATCCCCTCTTCTGTGCCTCCCCGAGGAGAGCTGCAGGTGGGCCCCTGAGGGAGCTGCTCTTCCCAGGGGTGAAAAGTCTGCTTTTGAGAAACAAAAGTCAAAACAGGTCTCACAGCTGTGGACTTTCCTCCCTTTGGGTCCAGGATCCAAAGTCTAGACTAGGAAGGGCCCTCTTGCCTCCCAGAGCGTGAGATGGCTGTAGGGGGCGGGCCCAGAGACTTTCACAGACCAGTCCTCTTTGGAAGAGGGAGGGGCCTGCATACAGATTCCCCATCCAAGAGCCTGAGCTTCCTGCATCGAGCCGGGTGCCCGTATGATCTGACAGTGTCCGACTGTCATGTTGACCCAGCATCATCCCCGTATCATGACACTCTTCTTAATTCCCATGAATGGCTCTGTAATGTTTCATAAGAAAAGGGTACCATAATTAACAGATTTCCTGTTATTGGACATTTAGGTTGTTTCAGATTTTGTAGGGAACATCTTTTTCTTTTGGCTCATCTCTGCAGATTGGTTTCCAGCTGTAAGCTTCCTGTGTCAAAGGGAACAGACATTTTTATGACTCTTGATACACACCATTAAATTGCTTTACAAAAGGTCTGACCTTTTCTTTGCACAACTTGAAAGGTGAATCATCAGCTGTGAGCCAGCACTCCGATTCTGAGCAGTTAATTATTATTCCCATATTAGGCAGAGAGAGAGTTGTGGGCCCATCTGAATTTCTCCTAATTGCTTTCATTACACAGAGCTGACTTGTTGAGAAAAACGTCCTGGCCATGGGATATTCCAAACAACCGACCATCACTTTTGAAAAGCTTGGACCCATCCCAACTTTTGTAATCATTTCCCAGAGCTGTTTGTATTTCTTTTGGCAGAGATCATCTGTGGTCAAAGGCAGCTGAGTTGTGAAGCCCCGGGGTTAGCTGGTCAAGGTGCCTATTTTAGCATTAGGTTGCCAGCCTGTGGCCAGGTGTCTGGGTATTTTGAGAGAAGTAATTTTGAAAAGTAATTTGCAAATCATAACTGTGAATAGCATCAGAAGAATCATATGCAGGCCTTCCGTGGAAATTCTTTCTCTCTCTGTCTCCCTCCCTCCCTGCCCCCTGCACCACTCGGAGGATAATCATTAGGTTTCCGTGAAAGCGTCAGGATGGCAGGGATGTCAAGATGCTTGCATGCATCACAGCACCTGGGCTTTGCAGCAGACTGCTTGACCTGGGCGCCCCCCTGACGAGCAGGGATGTTGGAAACAGGAGTCCCAGGGTCCCTGGGAGTTTTCAGGTTTTCTGTCCAAGTTTTCAGGTTTTCTGTCTCCCGGGTGACAGCAGTCACATCTGCACTTTTGTAGCCAAAGATACACGTTTCCCCTTCACTGATGCCGTTGTCAGGCAACAGCGGAGAACAGGATGTGAGACAGAAAGCGCCGTGTACAGCCTTCCACTTCCACGGAGAGGCTTCACAGCCCGTGGTCTTAGGACTCAGGGAGAAAACTAGTTTCGGCCTACAGAATTAAAACTATTAGCTACCTGTGGCTTGCATTTTACTTAGGCCATCCCCGCTCCTCATTAATATGGTAAATGCAAAACCAAGGGGAAAAGGAAAAAGAGATTTCACTCCTGTCCAGTGGGTTAAGAGGAAGTTGACCTAGTCTTAGGGACTGGCCTGGACTTTACTGGCCATGAGTGTTTGCTGATGGCAAAAAATTTAGCATAAAACTAGCACTCTCAGCAGCAACACCTTCAGACCCGAAGGCCACCTGTATTTTATTTAGCATGTTGTTCAGTCACTCAGTCGTGTCCGACTCTTTGTGACCCCATGGACTGTAGCACGCCATGCCTCCCTGTCCATCACCAACTCCCGGAGTTTGCTCAAGCTCATGTCCATGGATTCAGTGATGCCATCCAACTATCTCATCCTCTGTTGTCCTCTTCTCCTCCTGCCTTCAATATTTGCCAGCCTCAGGGTCTTTTCCAATGAGTCGGCTCTTTGCATCAGGTGGCCGAAGTATTGGAGTGTAGCATTTGGAGAATCTAAAAGCAATTTGAGAGACGGGCCATTTAGGGGAGAAGATAAAGGGTGAAAGTCGGGGGTAGGACTCACTTCCTGTGAGCAGGACTGAATTATTTTTCATTTGTTCTGTCATCAAAGTAATGATTCTCATTTCCTCCTAAGAAGGCATAGAGTCAGAAGAGATTTAATCAGGAGGCTGTGTTGTTACCGTGCTCTATACGGAAGATTTTCTGTTGGTGACGGAAACCCCCCTTGAGAGGCAGGATGAGGTTCACTCCAGCTGATCCTGGGCAACTTCCCTCACCGCTGTGTCCGCATCGGACAGTGTGTTGTGTTATTGGCACCAGTGCAGGCAGAGCATGTGCCTCTCCAAGTAAGGAGGCTGTGTTTAGAGAGGAAAAGAATCCGCCTGCCTTGCAGGAGACCTGGGTTCGATCCCTGGGTGGGGAAGATGCCCTGGAGAAGGGAATGGCAATGCACTCCAGTATTCCTGCCTGGGAAGTCCTATGGACAGAGGAGCCTGGTAAGCTACAGTCCATGGGGTTGCAAAGAGTTGGATGCGACTGAGTGACTGACACCAGGTCTCAGCTCTCCCCGGGGAATATCTGCAGAAGGGTTGAGATGGTTGGAAATAGTTTTTAGCACCATAGTGCCATCCACATTCTTTCCTCCAATTCAGCTCTTTTTTTTCCCCCTGAGTGCCAGGCACTGTTTCAGGCATTTAGGAATAGTGGTGTGAGCAAAACAGACAAGGCCCTGCCCTGCCGGGGGCGAGAGACAATAAACAAGCAAACAAGCAGGGTTTATCAGATGGAGATAAGCGCTCTGAAGGAAAGGCTGGAGACAGAGCCAAGAATGGAGAGCGGACTTTCCGGGCAAATAAGGGTGGGTCCGCCCGCCCTCCTGGGAAGACGCTGGGGCCTGTCTGCAGGGAGTGCCGGGGCTCTGAGCTTGTGACAGAAGCACCGTGACTGCAGAGCGTGAGTTAACGGCCTTGGCAGGACGACGTGGTTGGATGGCATCGCCGGAGCGATGGGCGTGCGTTTGCGTAAGCTCCGGAAGCTGGTGAAGGACAGGGAAGGCTGGCGTGCTGCCGTCCGTGGGATCTCAAAGAGCCGGACACGACTGAGCAGCTCAACAGCAACAACAAAGGCCCTTGGCAACGGTGTCCTTGGTACTGGCCCCTGCAGAGGCCAGAGTTGCTCATGGCTAGCGTGGACACGAGGGCGGTGGGTGGGGCTGCCAGGCCTCGGAGAGCCCTGCAGGTGACGATAAGGACATTCTTTGGCTTTTGTTTTGAGTCAGAAGGGAAGCCATCGGGACTCTGAGCAGAGGCACGGCTGTGCCTGCCTTCAGGGCAGTGTTTGTGGCGGGCAGACCCGGGAAGGGGGCACCGGGCGCGGGCTGGGCTGGGGCGCTCAGAGTGTGGCGGCCTCTAGCCGCAGGGGCTGCCTTACTGTGAGGGAGCTGAAGTGTTTTCTCTTTCCATTAAAAGTTTATATCCTCAGGAATTCCCTGCTGGTCCTGCAGTAAGGACTCGGGGCTTCCACTCTCAAGGGCTCGGGTTCAATCGCTGGTTGGGGAACTAAGATCCCGTAAGCTGTGCAGCCAAAAAAAAAAAAAAATTAGAATTATCATACCCGTGTTTTCAGCGCTCGCTTCCCACACATAGCGCCTCCTGTACTAACAGTGGGATCGCTTCCACGGGGGCCCCCGGCGGCCCAGGGGTTAAGACTCCATGCACTGCCGGGGGCTCTGGTTCCATCACTCGTGGGCGGACGAAGACCCCACGTGGCGAGGCCAAAAAGAGAGCCTGGATCACTTCCACGACCACAGATGTTCCTCTCGGACAGTGCCGACCTGTCGGCTTCTGTAGGGCCCATCCGAAGGTTTCAGGCAGAGGAGGATTCGCTCCAGGCTGTGATCACCGGCCGCTGCGTGGAGAACAGACCGGAACTGGGCAGTGGGGCAGGCAGGGGGCCGTTAACCGTCCGGACAAGCAATGACTGCGTCTTGGATGGAACGTCCTGGCGTGGTGGGCAGACACGGTTGGTTCAGAGGTGTCCTAAAGGCAGGCCGGATAGTCTCTTCTCTTGCAGTTTCGTATGGTTGGAGATGAAGGTGGTCGAAGTACCTCGGGTGATGGTGAGGAGAGATTGCAGAGGTGGCGGCGGTGGAGGGGGGTATAGAGGGGGCAGCCAGGGGAGGGTTGCAGGCCTCCTGGGCCCAGAGGGAAGGCAGGATGGTGGCTGGAAGGAGGCCTAAGAGCCCTCCCCTCGGGAAAGGTGAGCGTGGAGACGGGGTGGTGCGGAGCGAGCTTCAGGGACAAAGAGAACATAGGTGCTGGTAGCGTTGAGGCCTGTTGATCCTGGTGCTCAGGAGCACATCTCCCTTTAAAAAAAAAACGGTTTTGCTTCTTTGGCTATGCTGGGTCTGCAGTGCTGAGCGCAGGCTGCAGTCCTTGGGGCACACGGGCTCAGTTGCTCCGCAGCGTGTTTCATCTTCCCAGACCAGGGCTCAAACCCCTGTCCCCTGCACAGGCAGGCAGACTCTTATCTAAGGAGCCACCAGGCAAGCACCCCCCCCCCCCAATCTGCCTTTTGAGGTTTTCCCGCAGGATTTGAACCGCTCGCCCACAGGCTGAGGAGAAAGGAGGTGCCCACGTTCCTCCAGGGCTGATGGCTTCCGGCTCAGATTCATAGGAAATACAAAAGGGATTGGCCAGAAGGAGGTGATAACTGATCCCCAAAGCAGAGGGTTGATGAAGAGGAGGAGGCAGGTGGGGGGTGGCAGGGAAGGGGGGGTGCAGGGTTCCTGAGAACAGGCTGAGCTGGAGAGCAGGCAGGTGGGAGAAGCGGGTGCTTGTCCAGGAGCCAATGGCCGGTCCACTCACAGGTGCTGGTGGCGGGTTAGGCCTCCGAGATGCAGGCAGATACGTCTCCATCCTAGGCTGACTTGCCAAGTCCTGGGATCCGCGTGCTCTGTTGCTAAGTCTTTGGATCCTGCCTCAGCAGGTTTGGTACCCAGCTTCCAGAGAGTGGGTCTCTGACCCGCCCCCCACTCCCAGGCCCGTCATCAGCTGGCCTGTCACTGCAGGCCTCGAGGAACGGACTCTGCTGGCCCTTCCTACTGTAAGCTGGGACTCTGTGACCTCATTATAATTACAGTCTTTCCCCAAACACTGACCTTCCACGTGGACTCTGAGGCATTTGCCTGTTAAAGTGTGCTATTTGGGAAATGTTTATCTGCCGCCACCACCTCCTGGATCAGTGAACTTTTGGGAAGCTGCCTTTGGGTCTTGCGGCCTTGTGGCTATGTGAGAGGGTGTGGGGGAACGTCTCCCAGCAGCGTCTGGACTTAGTGTCCTCCGGGTCCTAGACGGCGGGCCCCTTGCCCAGATTTTCTCTGTGGCTCCCTCACCGTTTTTCCTTTTACTCTTGTTAGAGCTCTGTAGGGGACCTCCTGCAGCAGCAACGGTGAGGCTGCCCCTCTCAGAAGCAGATGCGATATGGTGACCCGTGAATCCCCGTGAACACCTGGGCGCTGCATCGACAGCGTTTCATTGATATTTATTGAGGAGCGACTCCAGGAGGGCCCCCGCCCCCACCCCTCCATCGCTCTTCCTGCTCTGCGGCAGAGAGAGAACTGAGAACAATCCAAGGTAAATCTTTAACAAGATGGTCTATCTTGGGCTTTGTAGGCTGGACTGAAGTAAGAGGTGGCTTTTCGCTAAAATAACCGCACTGTTTGCACAAGTTTCCCCCTTGGAGTTTTCTAGGGTCGTTAGAATGATCTAACTGCCTCACCTGCTTTTAGAGGGGGCGCGCCTCTGGAGGGACAGAAAACAAAAGCAGGGTGTTGAAATGCAAATAGACCTCGCTGGTTCCAGTCCCGGCGGCAAGGCTGCAAAATAGAGTCAAAGCTGACTGCACTGTCCCCACAGAGGTCTGGAGAAGGGCTCCAGAAAAATCTCACAAGATATATTTCTTTTCACGCACTGGAGCCCCAAGGTAGGTAAGAAAAACAAAAACAAAATAAAAACAAACAAAGGAGTTCATACTTGAAATCTGCGCAGTGCCAGCTGAATGGCTAATTGTTTCTTGCTTTCATTCCCTCCCCCTCTCCCCCTTTTTTTCCTGCCTGAATAGATAATCCTTACAAAACATCTATTCATTCTACAAGTGAAAATTTCAGGAATACTGGATACTGACCTTGGCAAGACTAATGGACTGAGGCTGAGTGATGGATTTGTGTGTGTTGTGGCTGACGTGCGTTTTGGCGCTTTGTACACCAGTTTGAGAATATCTTAGCAAAAGGAAAGGAAGGTTTATGGCATTTTAATTAATGACGACGATGAGGGCTTGAACTTGTAGGTAAAATTATGACAAAGTGTTATTTTTATAGCTGATTTTTTTTATTGTTTTTGTTGCCTCAAGAAAGGACCTGCTGATAATTAATGGTGGCTCCCTTTTCTATTTTAATGTTGCTACTCACTGATATGTAACAATTATTTTTTAAAGGAAATAAAATAGGGAGGCAATACAGCCTAGCAAAAAGAATATACTTTATCAGATTCTTAATGGCTAAATTAATTGGGCTCTTATTTGATTTCTGCTGTCATCTAGCTGTGGGTAACTTTGGGTAAGTTATTTAGCTTTTTTTTTAAAATAAAATTGGAATGAGAAACGTGATAGGGAAAAAAAATTTGTAAAAATGTTTTAAGTTCCCCTGAGAAAAGCACAATCAGAAACCACTGCTGGGTTGGTTTTTTTAAACTGAAAGTATCTGATCTTGTCAGTAAACCTCAATTTGAGTATCAATTAATTTATTTTTTTAAGCTGTCATTTAATTTCAGGTGCTTTATGAACTCTTCAGTTTGTTAGCAGAAAGAAATGCCATTTACACAGGATGGCTACAGAGCAACTTTATTCTGGTAAAATAATCCCTTAAGTCTTTATATACACAGCCCGTAAGTGTTGGCTTTATAAGGTCTGTCCTAGCAGACCGGCCCTGTGGCTGTCAGGAGCTCAAGTGCAAGGTAGCAGCAACTCCAGCACACATACACACACAACACAGAAGAGTTTAAATGGATCTCAGGGATTCCAAAATAACACAGTCTGAACAGATGACTCAAAAAAAGAAACTCACTGGCAAGGTTATATGAGTTATGGAGACTGTTACGTTAATGGCAGCCCACTCCAGTATCCTTGCTTGGAAAATCTCATGGACAGAGGAGCCTGGTGGGCTGCAGTCCACGGGGTCGCAAAGAGTCGGACACGACTGAGCGACTAACACATACCACAGTCGCTCAATGGTGTCTGACTCTGTTGCGACCCCGTGGACAGTAGCCCTCTAGGCTCCTCTGTCCATGAGATTTCTCCAGGCCAGAATCCTGGAGCAGCGTGCCATTTCCTTCTCCAGGGGATCTTCCTGACCCAGGGATGGGACCCGTGTCTCCTGCACTGGCAGGCGGAGTCTTACCTCTGAGCCACCAGGGGAGCCCGTGTAGAGTTCAGTTACAGCTTAGTAAGAAGCAGAGGTTCAAGAGTAGAGTCCCTTCCACTGAGATGTTCTTAAATGAGTGGGGACCCCACCTGCAGGCCAGCTCTTATTTCTGACTACTGCTGCCTCCTTTTCAAGGAGAAGGCTTTGGAAACTCACATTCCCGTCCCCGAGGCCTCCAGGAAGCCTGGTGCTGTGAAGGAGTGGATTGTTTGGGCTTACCAGAAGCCAGCGGCTCGAGGAACTGGGAAGGCCGGGCCCCGGCTCGTGTGTTCCCCGGTTGACCTGCCCGTGAGTCACCCTGACCAGTCAGCGCTGTCTTGTGTATTTCCCTCTTTACAGAGGAGCTGAGACTGTTGACTTTTGCAGGGGTTGCAAAACACACTGCTGAAGGGTAGACGGTCACTGTGCAAACACGTAAACACAAGACGCTGGAAGGGCACTCTTGAATCAAGATAAACGCATTCTTTGCATAATTGGGAGTTTATCTTTATGAAAGAATAGGGAGTTTGGTTTCAAAATAGTTTTTATGCTTGAAATTTTTTATTTGGACAGTGGGAACTTGGGTCATTGTTCTATTAATTGTGTTGCTTACCGAAAGGGAACTGTGACCAAGTTGCCTTCCTAAGAGTGGTTAATTGGGTATCAGAGATCAGACCCTCGGGCGTCTTAGAAAAGTACATTAAGATGTAGGGACCTGACTTTACAAGAGGGAGACTAACACTGGTGGTCTACTGGGCACTGTCCTTAGGTTGCTCTAGGGACCTTACAAAAGTGTGTGTGTGTGTGTGTGTTAAGGAAACTGAGGCACCCATTTTATCCCTCACTTTCCCAGGACCACTGTTCAGTGAAGGTTGGATTTTTGAATTCTGACTTCTTGTTGAACGTCACCTGGATGTCTCATTTATATGGCAGGCCTTTCTAATATGGAACTGAATGTTTTTTAGTTCTTTTAATGGTGCAGCCAGCCTCTCGTCAATTAAAAAACAGTATAATTAAATTTTTTTAATTTTTAATTTATTTTTAAATTGGAGGATAATGGCTTTACAATGTTGTATTAGTTTTTGCTGTGTAACATGAATCGGCTCTAAGTACCATATATCCCCTCTCTCTTGAGCCTCCCCCCACCCCCCCAGCCAACGCAACCTCTAGGTCATCGCAGAGCACCAGGCATAGGGACAGAGATGTAGAGCACAGCTTGTGGACGCGTCGGGGGGAGGATGAGGTGGGATCCGCCGAGAAGGCAGCATCGACCTGTGTGCGCGACCCCGGGAAGAGCAGACGGCTCGTGGGCAGCCGTGCAGCCCAGGGAGCTCAGCCTGGGCTCGGCGAGGAGTGTGGCTGTCGGCTCCCGTCCCCGAAGCCTGCTTTCTCCCAGCCCGGCCTGTCCTGAAACCCTCTTGGTAGGTCTGTCTGTGTCTAGCGGCTCTCTTCTGACTCCCAGCAGAAAGGACTGTCACAGTTCCCATCGTCTGTAACTAAGAGCGGATATCAGTATAACCACTATATGAATACGGTAACTCTTTCTGTGGGGCTTCCCTGGCGGCTCAGTGGTAAAGGACCTGCCCCTGCAGGAGACGCAGGAGACGGGGGTTCAGTCCCTGGGTGGGGAAGATCCCCTGGAGAAGGAAATGGCAACCGGCTCCAGCACTCTTGCCTGGAGAAGCCCATGGACAAAAGAGCCTACGGTCCATGGGGTCACAGAGTCAGACACAACTGAACTCCCAACACTAGCACTATCATTTTCATCACATCTGTTTCAGTTCTTTAAATGAACGAGCTATTGGAGACAAGGTCAAGTTCCCTTTGAATATGAATTCCATTCCTTCCTTCTACCTTCATCTATCTTGCAGAGTCCATGTTCAGTTTGATATGTGCCTTTAAAACATTTTACATACATTTACATGTGCTCATAATTAGTATGTAGTATTGTTTTATGCATGTATGTATTGTTTATGAGTGTACATATGTATATGCATATGTGGATCCATACATGCCCCTTGTCCTATGATTTGCTTACGTTCATTGAACAGGGGTTTTGAAATCCATCCCTATATAATATGAAATGAAGTGAAATTCGCTCAGTCATGTCTGACTCTTTGCCACCCCGTGGACTGTAGCCTGTCAGGCTCCTCTGTCCATGGGATTCTCCAGACCAGGATACTGGAGTGAGTAGCTGTTCCCTCCTCCAGGGGATCTTCCCAGGCCAGGGATTGAACCCAGGTCTCCTGCATTGCAGGCCGATTCTTTACCATCTGAGCCACAAGGTATATATGATATATAAATACACATACACACCTATTTTTATTAATATTGCCATTTATCCCATCATGTCATGGTATGAATAATACCACATTTTATTAATTAGTCCACTAGTGGCTATGTAGCTGAATAAAAAATTTTCACTAACAGAGATAATGCTTGGATTACTTTTCCCTAAGTCGGACATAGGGGATGGTTTCTAAAGCAGATGTCTAGAAGAAGAATGGCTACATAGTGAACATGCCCAGTTTCACTTTTGAGGGACACTACCAAATTGATTTTCAACTGTTCCTGGTCAACTTCTGTTTATTAATAAAAAAGCTTTTTCTTCTGTGTGATGAGAGCTTCAGTCTCTGCTCTTTCGTTGCTGTTCAGTTGCTCACTCGCGTCCGACTCTTTGCGAACTGACGGGCCGCGAGGCCTCTCTGTCCATGGGATTTCCCGGGCAAGCAAAGTGGAGTGGGTGCCGTTTCCTTCTCCAGGGCATCTTCCTGACCCAGGGATGAACCCGTGTCTCCTGCATTGCAGGCGGAGCCCTTACCGCCGAGTCGCCCGGGACGCCCTGCAAACAGAGGACCGTGTTGTCACGTTAGCTTCCTAGCGGGTTTCTCCCTTGTTGCCGGCCGCGGGGGATGCGGTCTCCGCTTGGGTTTCCAGCTTCACGTCCACCTGCTGCCCTGCAGGCCCGTGGGCAGCCACGCCAGGCAAGTCACCGCCTTCCAATCCCAGCCTTTCCTTCCCGCCTCTGCAAATTGACCCTGCTCGTCTGCCTTTCTCTATTGATTCAAAAAATATTTATTGAGTTCCTTGCTTCCTGCCAGGTGCTGGGGGTATAAGGGTGAACATGAAAGACAATATCTAGGCTCTGACAGTGTAGAGGGTGGAGGAGGAGGGGGCAGAAAAGAAACAAGTGAAAACACGAACAAGATGACCTTTCACAGATGTCAGTGCCGTGAAGCAAGTACAATGGAAGAAAGTCAGTGTGACTCTGTATATGTGTGTGTGTGTGTGTATATGTGTGTGTGCACGCGCGCTGCATGGGGCATGTCCGGGGCCTTGGGCATGTCCATCCAGCTGCCCAGGGAAACTGTTCCTCCTGAAAGGTGGCATGAGGCTCACTCACAGGCCCGGGTGCTGCCAAGCCCACCCGGGTACCCCCAAGCCCCAGGCTGCTCTCAGGGCTCCGTGGCCAGAGGGCCAGGAGGCTGGCAGACGCGAGGGAGGCAGTGCTCCTTAGAGCTGAGATCACGCCCTCTCTGCACAGCTGTCCCCAAGCCTAATTGCTCAGAGGATGAGCCCAGGGTGTCCCCCCTCACGGCACATTGCCAAGCGCTTTGGGATCTTGGTGTCCATTCGTCCCAAGAACTAACTTGCTTTCCTTTCGCTGCTCCGTTTTTTTCCTCCTAAGGGAGTGTCTTTTGCTTCTGAAAAGAGGAGAGGAGTGGGAGAAAAGCCCCAGGGCAGAGGGAACCTGGCCTTTCTCACAGCGTCACTTTGGAATGAGCCGCGTCTCCGTGAAACAAGCTTTCCTTCAGTGTCCAAGCTGACTTTCACATAACAGAAATCTCGTTTTCCGTAATGATTGTCGATAGCAGTTGTCGATCTCAACGGGGCGTTTTTCACCCCACTCAACTTTTTTCTCTCAGAATAGCAATATTATTAATTCGTAATAGTTGTAAACCATCTTGTTAATGCTGCGCCCACTGTGAGCTTCGGCTTGCTCTCCTGGAGGGATGCTGTGTTATCTGCAGTGGGAACTTCCTCTGGCATTGTCAGCTGTGACGGTACCACCGCGTAGGGAAAGTGAAATGTATTTTGCTGTGAGTCAGGTCACAGGTCACTAGCTTAGGATCATCTTTGAGTTGTGTGTTCTTTCACAGATGAGTTGTGTGTTCTTTTACAGATGAAGAAACTGAGTTTCATAGAGGTCCTTCTTTGTCCCCAGGTTGCAGAAGTCAAGTGGATGAGCAAGAGAGTTTAAATTTGGGGCTGCTGACCACACCTCTGTGAAGCCGCCTGCTTTAAATAATAATAGAGCAAACACCAACCACTGCTATTTCTAGACACAGCCTCTGAGACACAGCACTGAGCTGCAGTCTTGATCACTCCTCCTTCTTTAAGGCCCCTCTCCGCCGAGCTTTGTCACGCGGCGAGTGGTGCTGAGCAGGGACTGGGGCTGGGGCGCCCTGCCGGGGTCAGCGTGTTCCTCCCGGACCAGCCCACTGCCTGTGTGGGCAGGCTCCTCCCACGTCTGGAGATGGAGTTTCCTTGTTTCTGAGGCAGGGATCCTGTGGTTTTGATGTTTCTTGGGTGGTTCTAAGGATTGAATGGGATGGTACATTCCGTCCTTAGGAGGCTTGCAGGGAGCCTGCATTTGGGGAGCGCTCAGGTGATGTTTCTGCATCTCGGGTCCCAGCTGGCCGTCCAGACCCCACCCGGTGCGGGAGCCGCCCCCGGGCACCAGGCGCCGCTTCGAGTGCCCCCGTCCCTGGGCCGCGCCTGGGACCCGTCTCTGCCCGGCTCCCTGCGCTCCGGGCGGACTGTCTCCTGTAGCTGGCCCCTCCTGCGTGTGTGCTGAGCGGCTTTCTCTCTCTCTCTCTCTTAAGATTTTTTTGTTTTGATGTTGACTATTTTTTTAAAAGTCTTTATCGAGTTGGTCACAACATTGTGTCTATTTTGTTTTGGGTTTTTGGCCTCAAAGCATGTGGGGTCTTAGCTTCCCGACCAGGAGTCAAACCTGGGCCGCCGGCACTGGAAGACAGAGCCCTAGGCACTGGGCCACCAGGGGCGTCCTGCGAGCAGCTCGGCTTTCCTCTCCTGCTGCTTTGGTCCCCATCTGTGTGCCCTCGGGCCCCCGGTCGCTGAAACACCAGCGACGACCCGAGTGACTCACGAACCTGCTCTCCTGCCCCGGCCCCCCGCTCCGTCTGTGTTCCCAACTGACCACAAATAGAACAAAAGCCCGGCGCACCCCAAGCCCGAGCTCGCCCTGTTCAAAATGAAGGCCCCCCCTTCTCGTTCAGGCTGGCCCCTTGCTCTGCGCACCCCCCCACCGCCGGGCCGACTACGTGCCCCACCCCCCACCGTGGAGAGGCCTGGGAGAAGACCTGGGCTCGGCCCCCTCCCCACCCGCCTCAGCCCGTCAGCCAGCAGGGGCGCCCGGCTCCACCCTGCCCACAGACCCTGCCCCAGCCTCAGGGTCACCACTGCAGAGTGGGCGGGCCGGCCCTGGTGAGTGCAGCAGCCTGCCCCCCAGACCCTGCGCCTGCCATGCAGCCCACGCCCACCCTGCGGCCAGCATCGGCATCGTGCTGAAGTGTGACTCTGCTCCTGGGAACCACTGTGGGCTCTTTCAGTGCCAACCACGCCCCACGTGGCATCAAGTCCCTCTCTCCTGCCCTGTCCCCTCTCCTGCCGGCGGCTAGTCCAGGGCACGAGGCGGGCTTGGCACGTGCTGCTCGGGGCCCAGAACACCCTTCCTCCTCTTCGCCGAGTGACACTTTTTCATCCTTCAGCTCACAAGCCACATCCTCTGCGAAGCCTTTCAAAGAGGCCCCCGTGGCCCCTCCCGCCCAGGCGCCCTCCGTTTCTGAATTTCAGAAGGGCAGCTCCCACAGCCCCGAGTGCACTCCCGGAGATGGAGGATTGGACCAAGACCCCGAGGACCTCCTGAGACCCTTCCCTTTAGTCCCTCTCTCCCCCGTGAGGGCCTTTCCCATGCAGGGAGCAGTTGGCCTTCTCTGGACCCGCCCAGAGGCTGACCCGATGCCCCAGCACAGCCAGTGTTTCCAGAACATGTGAAAATGACGCCAGGTTGGAGAGTCCAGGACCTCAAGGGTAGATTCCTCCAAACAGCCAACCTCCCCACCCGCAGACCAGCAAAAGCCGTCGGTGGAGATCTTGGCTCTATCATCAGATCAAATCGCTTCTCTGAGCCTCCACTTCCTCATCTGTGAAATGGGGATGCTTGTAACCACCTCCAGAGGTGGCTGAGATTACAGGAGGGAATGGAAGGAAATTAGCCAGCCCAGGGCCTGGCTGGGAAGTCTCTGTTGCATACAAAGCTATGTGTAGCTAATCATTCTAAACAGGAACTGGGAGGCAAGGTCACGTCCTAAAATAACTGCATAAGCTTAGAATTTCACTGGGAATTTTAGAAGTTAGGACAGTTAAGGATGTCACTAATGTTTGTAGCAGCTTTCACCTAAGAAGATGCATCCAGCTAAATTTTAAAGTTCTCTTTGAGTTTTCCCATACAGGTCACAGTGGGCCTGGGGGCGCGTGATATGCACAGTGTGTTTTCCTGCACTTGTGTGCTGTCTGATCCTGGGCCCGGTGGCTGTAGGGATCACTGGGGGAGTGTTTTAGATTCCGAGGCCCATCTCCCGCCTGCTGAATCAGAATAGGGGCAGGAAGGGGACCCACAATCTGCATTTATGAAAACCTCCCTTGTGGTTTTGGTAATCTGCTGGGTTTGGGAACCTCTAGCACATACACCAGCAGAAAAGCCTACTGCTCAAAATTCTCAGCTTTATAGTCTCTGTAAATAAAAGAAGAAACTAGTTTATTTGCTGTTTTGTCAAGGATTCGCTTTCTCCAGGCCTGTTTTTATCTTCACTGTGGTCTGTTTATCTGCCAGTGGAAAAAAACTGGCTCTGCTTAAACAATAGGAGAAGGAAAGGTGCAAACCTCACCAGCTTCCCCGTCTTTTTAGCAGCAGTGGGGTATTTCCCCCGCATCCTACTGGGGCAATTTAAATGTTAATGCACTTAAGTCCAGCAGGCTTTTTAGCAATCAGATTAGAATTGTTTTTATGAGAATCTTATTCCTCTTTTCTCTGTTCTATATTTGTCTTTTGGTTATTATTTTTGCTAGAGAGGCATATGTTTAGATTCGCTGACCTTTTAAACCTTGAATTAAAAAAAAAAAAAATCCCATCCTGATATCATCTCAGCAGTATTTTCTAGAGGAGAGGAAGATATCCACCCTGTAAACCTGAGGTCTGCAGTTTCAATGTGCTGAGTCACCTGGTCTTTGCTGGGTCAACCCATTCTGCGCCGGGGGAAAAGTACAGCAGAAAAATCAAACTGTGAGCTGGTGTGCCGTTAATTTAAATACAAATAAGACTGGAAGACGCTCATGTGTCGATGCAGAGTAACTTAGTATTAATTTTAGAACTTATTTCTGGAGATTTCTTTTCACTTATTTGTTTGGTTGCGCTGGGTCTTTGCTGCACTCAGGATTTTGATCTCAGTTGTGGCACAGAGGATCTTTCGTGGCAGGATTCGGGGCCTAGTTCCCTGACCGGGGATCCAACCCAGGCCCCTTGCACTGGTAGTTTGGAGTCTTAGCCACTGGACCACCAAGGAAGTCTCTGGAGATATCTTATAGTCTGATAAGTCCTTTTTCTGATTGGTCATATGTTGGTGAAATTTTGTAAATGTTTCTTCCCATTCTTAGAAAGTGAAAATGAATATAAATGGAAAAGCCCTTGTCTTGCAAGTTTTAGAAAAAAGAGAAACTTAATCTCGACCATTATTCTGAGGTTTTGCATAATTAAGTTTCTTGAATTAGTTTTCTTGGAAAGAGCTAATAACTGGCAAACAAACCACATACAGTAATGAATCAGATCTCGAGAGGTGATGTCCACCTTTGGTTGAACTTTCTGGAAATCTGTTTTCCTATTTTGATTGTGGAGTTGAATAGACCCTGAGGAGGTATGGCTGTGACTGTTAATAGAGGAAGTGGCAGGAAGCTACAGTTTCCTCAGAGTCAGAAAGTTTATAGAACTCTTGATGGGAATGCGGGCTATAGATGAAGATGAAAGTCAGGGTAATGTGTACTGAGAACTGCTGCTTTATTTTTATCCTATAAAAGTGGTTCCTCTAAAGTCAGCATCTGGGGCTAGAGAGAAGGCAAACACTCCAGGAAGTCAGAAATGTCTGTTTACCAGTGTTAACAAACATCCGGGGTCATTTCACAAGGTGGGAATTTACCACGGGGCCAGTTACCGTCCCCCTGGCCTCCAGCAGGTTCGTGTCCCGAGTGGGGAGCCGCTTCGGGGCCCTCTGTGGCCGAGCCTTGGGCACAACATCCCTGGACCCATCTGGGGTGGAGCACTGGCCGCTGCCCTGCGTCCGTGCTGCTCACGCCCGCCACGGTGCCAGGAGCCTCCACCGCCTTCTCCAGGCCGGCCTCGGCCGTCTACAGAGAAACCAGCTGTGTGTTTTAATGACTGACTGATGGCCAAGCTGGGTCTTTGCTGCTGTGCGTAGGTTTTCTCCAGTCGCGGCGAGCGGGGGCTGCTCCTGGTTGTGGAGCGCGGGCTTCCCGTGGCCGTGGCGTCTCTTGTTGCCGAGCTCAGGCTCTAGGAGCACGGACTTCAGTCGTCCCAGCACGTGGGCTTGAAAGCTCGGGTTCAGTGGCTGTGGCCCACGGGTTAGTCGTCCGAGGCACGTGCGATCCTAGTTCCCAGACCAGGGATGGAACCTGTGTCCCCTGCGACGGCAGGCGGAGTCCTAACCACTGGACCACCGGGGAAGTCCTTCGACTTGTATTTTGAATACCTTCAGGCTGAGTGGTGAAAATTCCGAGGCTACATCGTCCCCACTGCCCTCCTCGCCCTGACTGAGTGAGTCGGCCCCCAGGCAGGGCCCTTCGCCTTGGTGTCCCTGCAGAGAGCAGGGAAGGTCGTGAACGTGACAACTCACGGGCCAGAAATGTTAACTATGGCAGGAACGTCGTCAGCAGCTTGGAGCACGTGTTTCCCTCAGGGAGCGGTTTCAGGGGAAAGGGCAGAAAAGGTGGGAGGCCAGACGGGCTCCAAGAAAGAGTCTGACTTGGTGCACTTTGTACTTGGAGCTGTTGTGTGACCTGCAGGTGAACATGTGAACTGTATTCAGCATCAGTTGTGTGTTTTCCCAGTCTGGGTTGATGGCCATAATATAGTGACTTGGCATTAAAAGAACAAACTAAACCCCTCAGCTACCTGCCTTCACTGGACTCTGCAGAGCCGGACGTGGGAACGGGGCACGTGTTTGCCGGACGAGGGCGCAGGGCTCCAGTGGTCAGCCGGGCCTGAAGACCAGGTGCCGGCGAGCGGCGGGCAGGCACGGCTCTGTCTCAGCTGTCGCGAGCCTGGTGAGCGGGGGCAGTTGGATTGACTGCCGTGAAGTTCGAAGGTCTCTTCACAGGCTCCAGCGTGGGCCGGAGACACGCAGCGAGGGGGAGCTTCTCTGCTCACGTCCTCAGAGGCCCAGGCGTGACTGGTCGGCAGCACAGCCTCCCGGGAGGCCTTGGAGCTGCGTTTCAGGCCTCACTCAATTCAGTCACTCAGTCGTGTCCGACTCTTTGCGACCCCATGGACCGCAGCACGCCAGTCCTCCCTGTCCATCACCAACTCCTGGAGTTTACTCAAACTCATGTCCATCGAGTCGGTGATGCCATCCAACCATCTCATCCTCTGTCGTCCCCTTCTCCTCCTGCCTTCAATCTTTCCCAGCATCAGCGTTTTTTCCAATGAGTCAGTTCTTTGCATCAGGTAGCCAAAGGATTAGAGCTTCAGCTTCAGACCTTCCAATGAACACCCAGGACTGATCTCCTTTAGGATGGACTGGTTGGATCTCCTTGCAGTCCACGGGACTCTCAAGAGTCTTCTCTAACACCACAGTTCAAAAGCATCAATTCTTTGGTGCTCAGCTTTCCTTATAGTCCACCTCTCACATCCATACATGACCACTGGAAAAACCATAGCCTTGACTAGATGGACCTTGACTAGACGGCAGAAATTATCAGCATAGACCTGTTTAAAGCCTGGAGACCTAAAGAGACCACAAAGGGCCAGTAGATGGAGAGGAGCAGGGGTCAGAGGGCCGCGCTCTGGGGCACGCCGCCCCGAGAGCCCTGGAAGAAGAGGCGCTCCGCGGAGGACACTCGGGATGGGGCCCGGGGAGGGGGTTTGAAGGCGGGGTCCCCCGGGCCGGGGTGGGGGTGGGGAGCACCTAGGGAAGGGGGACGGGGCCCAGACTCGAGGCTGGGTGAGTGCTTCATGGCGGTGGCGCCTGGGGGTCCGAGGCCTCGCCCCGTGGGCCGCGTGCCGGGTGCTGTGCTGAGAGAGCGACACGCCGCCCTGCTTGTTTGTTTCTCGGGCTGTGCCGGGTCTTGGTTGCGGTCTGTGGAATCTTAGTTCCCCAACCCGGGCCCCGTGCCCTGGGAGCCCGGAGCCTTAACCGCTGGACCACCAGGAGGCCCCAGCACGTGACACGCCTTCGACCCCTTCATCCTGACACCTGCCCAGTAGGAAAGGGAGTGTCCTTATCTGCGGTGAGGACACTGGCTCAGAGAGGTCAGAGGCCACCCCAGGTTATCTTCCTGCAACTGCCGGCGACCCAGGCGGCCCTGTCCCAAGGTCCTCTTAACCACCAGCCTGCCTTCCCCCGGGTCAGGTCCTTCTCGGCTGCGGTCAGAGGTCAGAGGCCGAGGGCTTGAGTCCATCCCCTGGAGACTCCGGGCTCCCCTCTGCCTCCCAGAGGAGGTGCTCTGCAGGTGGAGGGAAGGATGTGCTTCCGCACGGACCAGTCTGGGTGCAGTGCGGGGCAGGAGGCGGAGGGTGCTTGGCTGCTGAGGATGGAGGGCGATCTGGGGGAGCTCAGCTGGGCATGGGGCTCTTGGGGGGCCTGAGGGCTGACCCAGCCGTGTGTCAGCCGGAGAAAGGCATAGAGCAGGGAGCCAGGCTGGGGAGAAGATGGAGCCTGTGGTCCGGGTGATGACACCCCTTTCTAAGAGCAAGCGCGTCCCCCTCCCACATGGCAGGAGAAAGGCACGTCTCTGCTCTGCTTGTTCCAGGGCGTGTGTCCCCACCCCTGGGCTCCAGACAGAGGGAGATTCAGGGGGCTGGGGCGGTGCTCGAGGACCCAGGGATGTGCCCCCAAGCTGTCAGGCGTTTCGAGATGTTCGCTTCCACCTCGCTGGGGGAATGAAACGTGGTTTTTGATGAGAGATGCCAAAGGGATCCTGGGGCTGTGATTTGCACAGATTTCAAAGGTCTGAGTAATGCTGCTCTGAGTAGAAAGCTTGTGTTTCTTCATTTACTTATGTGAGAAGAGTTCCTCAGGGACTGTGTCTATAAAAAGAAAAGCAGAGGCTTCCCTGATGGTCTGGTGATTAGCACTCAGCCTTTCCACTTAGGGGGCATAGGTTTGATCCCTGGACTCAGATCCCACATGCCTCATCGTAGCATGACCAAAAAAAAAAAGCAGTGATGCTAAGTTATGCCAAAATGTGTCATTGTAATAATGAGGCATCCACACACCCATACGCTAACCATTGGGATATAAACCCAGTTCATCTTGTTAAGGGATGTATTTCCATTAAGATTTTATCTTTTATGTTGAATCATTGTCAAAGTTTATGATATGCTTCTGATGCTTCGACTAACTCTGTACTGTTAATAATCGGGGTTTCCTGCTTCTCAATCCAGAAGTTTTTTTGTGTGTGCTTGAATTATGGTCACAGGAACTTTAAAAATTTTTAATTATGTACATAGCTTGTGGATGAGGTATATGGAAAAGTAGTCAATAAAAGGCTGCGAAGCATAAAGGTAAATTTGGCTTAGCATCGGTGAGCAATGTAAAAGCTTCTCTATGAATGTCTATAGCAGCATCGTTCAAGACGGTCCGCAGCAGAAGCAAGCCTGCAGTCCACCAGCCGAGGAGTGACGGAACGAAGTGTGGTCCGTCCGTCCAGTGGAACGGCTTCGGACAACAGATAGGAGAGAGCCTGGATCATCAAAACATGATGCTACCTGCAGGAAGCCCCTCACAAAAGACCACCTGCTGCGTGATGGTGTGTGTTTGAAATGTCCCAAGAAAGTGAACCTATAGAGAGGTTGGCAGTGGCTCCGGGCTGTGGTACGAGAGTGGGGGATGGGGAGTGATTGCCAGCATCGATGGGTTTCTTTCAAGGAGATGAAAGTGTTTTAAAACTTATTGTGGGGGGAGAAAAAGAAAAGAGAAAAAAAAAGTGGGGGTATTCCCTGATGGTCCAGTGGTTAGGACTCAGCCCCTGGGTCTGTCCCTGGTTGGGGAGCTAAGATCCTGTTTGCTAGCTGTGTGACATGGCCAAAAAATAAGCAACAAAAGAAAACTGATTGTGTTGATAGTTGCACAAATCTGTGACTATCCTAAAAACGGTGAAATTTGTACTCTTCAAATGGATGAACTGCATGATATGTGACTTACATGTCAATAAAGCAATTAAATCTGTGGGGTAAGAGGAATGGAAAAAGAAAGAAAAAAAGAATGATGTGCCATTTCTGGCTTTATTAAAGAAGATTTGTGCACTCACAACACTATTAATGAGTTGCTTTGCAGTCATTTAAACTTGGGTTAAAAAACGTGGATGTCAAATTGAACACTGCCTAGGGGCGTGCAGTTCTCATTTTAGGACATTCATGAGGAAAAGAGTTAGAAGCCCAGTGACCGAGACCTCCTGAAGGCTGTCTTAGGTTGAGGGAGACCAGAGGCTGAGGAAGGAGACTTAGAAGCGGCCTGGGACTCAGAGGCTCGGACTCATCGCTTTCACTTCTGGAGCCCAGGTTCTGCCCCTGGTCAGGCACTAAGATCTCAAAGGCCCGCAAGCAGCAGAGACTCAGAGCGAGGCAGGGAGGGCGTGGGGGACAGCTTCCAGGTGCAGGAGTGGCTGGCGTCACCTGCGACTTTGCCCTCTGGGGACGCAGAGCCGTCTCTGGGGACCAGTCGGCACTGATGAAGTCCTCGACTTGGTTCCATCCATTTTAATAACCTCGTTGCAGCCTAGTACAGAGTTGGAGGCTGGAAGCTGAGCTCCGGGAGGCAAGAGGAGGGGGTGAGAGGGAGGAGGAAGTGAAGACACCGGCCTCGGAAGCTGGAGCATAGCTCAGCGGAACTGTGGTAACTTTGGGCAGAAGTGGTGTAAAGGTAGTTGCTGATGCTCTGCGGACGCAATCAACGTGAGCGTGTTTGTGGGTGAAGGTGAGGCTGGTGAGCAAGACTGAAGAGGGGAGGACAGGCGCCCATCCCTGCAGGGTGCCCGGCGTCCTCAAATGAGCCCGGGGTGAGAGGAGCCCCCCGTGACCCCAGGACCCCCAGCAGCCAGGACGCCGTGGCCCTAAGGAGTCCTCCTGTCTCTCCCCAGCCCACCGACAACGTCGAGGGCGTCTAGGCTATGACGGCGTTGGGGAAGGGGGTGGGGCACCTCGCCTGGCAGCAGGCTTGAACTCGGTTGAGGCTAAGACTGACTCCCAGTATCTTGGGTCGGGGAGACAAGGGGTGCTCAGGTTTACTCACCTCAGTTCACCTGAAAGATGCCGGACTTTAGACGCTGGTCCACCTCCAGGGCTAGAGGAAACGGGTGGGTCGGAGGGTAGAGCCGCCTCCTCCGAGGCTGGCCACACCGCTACGTCACCCTGACCCTCTGGGGGCAGGAGCCTCAGCCCAGTGTGCAGCCGGAGACCAGGGATCCTGTGAACTCTCACCGGGGACCGGGCTGCCCCCTTGGTGCTCCGCGGTCCCTCCCGTTCATGTGACCCCATTTCAGCATCCTTATGCTCGTAGAAAATGCTCTCAACAATAACGGCACCAGCAAGAGAGAGGAAAAGAGGTGTTTAGACATAGGAAGAGAGAGGTGTGGGTGGGAGGAAGCATCTTGCTTTAGTCTCCACAGCAACAGGTGGAAAAAAAGACTGAGCAAAGGGAATTTCTTGTGGTTGTGCGTCTGGACCTGCATAGTCACTTGAAGGTCACATTGCACGTGGCAAGGTCATGGCAAGGGAACTGACTCCCCCTGCCCAACCCCCATGTCCCCTGAACCTTCTCAGTTCTGTTCCCACGGTTTTGTGTTACTGCTGAGAGAACTGGAGACTCTTACAAGGACGCCAGGGAATAATGTGGTCCCAGGTAGATGTGTCTGAAGCCCCTTGGCCGTCAGTGAAGTTTCCCAGGCTACCCTTGGCTGCGAGCACCCTAGTAGTAATGATAACAGTTATCAGCAGGAGAAATTATTTATCTTTGTTTTTGAATTCATATTTAGTGTTGTCGTTGTTGTTTTTACAGCGTTTGGTATCTGGATGTACGTGCCCCTTGTGTGCTAAGAGTGTTGAGAACACAAAGATAAATTGTACACAGCAGGAATAGCAGTTCTTACCCAGGCGGCCACGGATCCTTGTCCTTGGATGGAATTCAGGGCTTTGTGAACATGGAAGGAAAAAAGGGTACATTTTCAGTAACCTCCAACTGCAATGCAGCGTTTCCTTCAGAGATGAGTGGCGACGGACGCCCAGGGGTAGAGCTGTCCCTGTGACTCTCGGGCGCATCACAGCTGTTGGCAGCACTCTTGAAATATAGTGCATTTGTAGCAGTACTTTGAAATTACCATAGTTACCTGACCTACCACTAAACCTGGTCATTGAATAAAAAGACACCCATGTTACTGTGTACATCAAATGTATATTGTAATATTAGGTTATTTCATAGTTGTTGTTTAGTTGCTAAGTCATGCCTGACTCTTTGCGACTGCAGTATGCCTGGCCTCCCTGTCCATCACCAACTCCCAGAGTTTGCTCAAACTCACGTCCATTGAGTTGGTGATGCTATCCAACTGTCCCATCCTCTGTTGTCCCCTTCTCCTCCTGCCTTCAATCTTTCCCAGCATCAGGGTCTTTTCAAACGAGTCAGGTCTTTGTATCAGGTGGCCAGTTTTGGAGCTTCATCTTCAGTAGCAGTCCTTCCGATGAACATTCAGGACTGACTTCCTTTAGGATGGACGGGTTGGATCTCCAAGAGATTCTGAAGAGTCTTCTCCGGCACCACAACTCTAATTAGCTTTCTAATTCATAATTTCTAATTCCATAATTAGCTTTCTGCATATGTCTGTGTATTTCGCCTGATTCTGGGGAGGATTCACGCAGCTGCCAAAGGAAACCAAGGCATCAGACAGGTTCAGAGCCCCCTTAGGCGTACAGTCTGGGGCGGGGTGTTGGGGATGGGAGCTGAACCAGGAGCCTGAACAGATAGTCAGTACGAAGTGGTGAGAGGAGGTGAGAAAGATACCCTGGGGCCTTGGGGACCTGGAGAGGGCCCCCTCTGGAGACCGCTGAACTGCATCTGCAGGACTGAGGAGAAGGAGAAAGGCAGGGGGCCAGGGGGCTGGGGGGAGTGCTGAGGCCAAGTGCTGCATCCCCGGGGCTGCAGACTGACTCACAGACAGATGGGTGTCCAGTGACCTCCCCTTTAGAGGCAGACGGGGTGGACGATGCTCACTTTTCTTGAAAGAATTCAGTGGCATAATAGAATTTTTCAAAGTGGCATCATAGATGTGTGATTCACATATGGTCAATGCACATATGTGCCAAGTTTTGACATTCTTAGCCACCCTGCCGGCTCAGCTGGAAAAGAATCTGCCCGCAGTGCGGGAGACTGGAGCTCGATCCCTGGGTCGGGAAGATCCCCTGGAGGAGGGCGTGGCACCCTACTCCAGTATTTGTGCCTGGAGAATCCCATGGACAGAGGGGCCTGGCGGGCTACAGTCCATGGGGCCGCAAAGAGCTGGACATGACTGAGTGAGTGCACACTTGCACACACACACACCCCCCGTGAAAGCATCACAGTCAACGTAAGGAGTGTCTCCATCTCGCCTCCCCAGAGGGTCCTGCACCCCCTCCCGCCTCCATCCCTGGCCCTCGGGGAGACCCCCAGGCCACGTCCTCTCCTGGTCTGGCTTCTTCCAGGGTAGCACGTCTGAGATTCAGCGGGGCTCTTACAGGCACTAGTTCCTCCCTCCTTACTGTCGGGTTGTATTTACTGTGGAATCATGTACTTATTTACATTTGGCTGCGCCACGAGGCGTGTGGGGTGGTGGTTCTTAGTTCCCCAACCAGGATGGAACCTGAGTCCTCTGCAGCGGAAGCGACGGGTCTTAACCACTGGACCACCAGGGAACTCTCGAGTAAGGCACTTTAAAAAGGGGAAAAGCCTAAGCTTTTATTTTCATAACACAATTTGTAAAGAGAGTGAAGTTCCTAATGCTTATCAAATGGGAATGTGGGTTGAGACGTGTGGTCAGAGTGCATTCCAGCCCCGGGTTCTCTTAGCAGCACTGTCAAATGTGAACACGCTTGGAATATTTCAGAGCTGCAGGACGGCGGTCCGCCAGGGCTCGAATATACGCACCTGCGTCTGCGCCCGCAGGCTCTCTGGTGGGAGGACAGGGGAGGACGCTGCCCCACGGAGCACCGCCGACGTCCTCTGGGTCATCCCGGCCTCCTTCAGATGCCACCGGGCAAGCACCGCGTCCCGCCTTGCACAGAGAGGAAATGGTGCAGCGAGCTGTGAGGGTGGTTACTCAAGACAGAAGTGTCAGGGACAGATGTGGCTGCCCGCGGCCGCGTCCCCGCTTGGCTCCCAATTAGGAGAAAATGCAAAGATTTCATTTTCACTTTTGTTCTTACCTGGGTTGTGATAGGATCTTTAAACTGGAGGAGCTAAGGTTTTCTTCTCAACACTGTCCTCTTTCCCACTGGGTCTGGGCCAGCATGTGTCAAGGGTTCACAGCCCAGCGCCGTGTGGACACTGGGTGGACACCGGCTCGGTGCCGTGTGGAGCACAGACACCAGGGCGCTGGGCTGGCTCAGTCCTGGCGGCGACCCTGGAGTGTGTGGGGCAGATGGCCCAAATGAGAATTCAGTGGTGTTCTGACACCTGGTGAAATCGTGGGTCCTCTTTCCCAGAAAGCACATGGATGTGCACACATTGCTCTGCAATGATTTCAGAGTTCAGAGACACTCCCCACCGCCCCCCCCAACCCCCGCCCCGCAGCTGGTCCGTAAGAATGACCTCAGGCTGAGTGTTTTGGGCACTAAATGAAGTAGTCGTGCCTTCAGAGTCACTGCTGAGAAAGATCAGAGATAGAGGCTGGGTGGGGGTGGTGTGGTGGGCGGTATCTTGATAGACAGGCTTATCTATCAAAGAGGACTAACACCCCAACCCAGCCAGTACCCCGGTCAGGGTGGGTGTTAGTCTCCGGGAGGAGACTAGGCAGAGGGAAGAGTCTGAGAAGGGACAGCGGAGGCCAGTTTGGCTGGAGAAAGATGACAGAATCGCTAGAAACGACCATAGCAAAGTGAAAGTGGAAGTGTCGGTCACTCAGTGGTGTCCGACTCTCAACCTCATGAACTGTAGCCCGCCAGGCTCCTCGTCCACGGGATTCTCCAGGCTAGACTATTGGAGTGGGTTGCCATTCCCTTCTCCAGGGGATCTTCCCTACCCAGGGATACAACCTGGGTCTCCTGCATTGCAGGCGGCTTCTTTACCCTTGGCGCCACCTGAGAAGCCCCATAGAAGGATTGTGAGGGGGTCAGATTGTGAGTGATACTGAAACCTAGGTGAACGCTCCTCCCCACCATCACCCGGTGAAATATTCTGCAACTGCTTTTATTTTATTACTTTTTTAATGTGGGGTTTGGGGGATGTATACAGGTGAATAATGCATATTTATTGTTGGAAATTAAAGAGGACAAAAATAAACAATTCTTATATAATATAATCTGATCTCTATTAATAGCTGACAGTTTTATTTTATTTTATTTTTCTTCTGGCCGGGATGCACTGCATCTGGAATCTTAGTTTCCCGACCAGGGATCGAACAGAGGGCTGGCGGCCTGCTGTCGGACTTTCTTCTGCTGATTTGACTTTCTTGCTGGTTCCTCTTGGTGTCCTGTGTCTGCTCCATAGCCTGTGTCTCAAACACTGGACCTCCCGATCCCCGCCCCTCCCCGGCTTTCACACCGAGCTCTTCTCTTCCTCATCTCCGTTGATGATAAGGCAGCCCGCGTCAAGCGCCTGCCGTGCACCCAGCACCGTGTTGAACAACATCACACTTAGTTTTCACCACACCCCGCTACATAAGGGTTCATCTCTCCCTTGTACAGCCGTGGCGCGCAGGGCGGAAGCTGCTCTCCCGAGGGCACGTCCCTGAGCGCGTGTCCCCGCTCTGCGGTTTCCCTCCGCCCGGCTTCAGGGCGGCCGCGCATCACTCTCCTCTCGGGGTTTCCGTGGATACCCAGCTCAGGCCGAATCCCAGCCTCACCTATCAGCGGCGACCCCCAGCCTGCCCCCTGACATCGCTGAGCCCACGGGCCACCCTGCCGGCGTCTTTCCCCTCCCGACTCCCTCAGCCCACGGCGTGCCCGGGTTTCGGGTTGGTTTCCGTCCTCCAGCCTCGAGGAGGCCCCCTCGGTGAAGGCCTCCGCGCTGGTCGGTCCGAGGGGCCGCAGCTTCACGCGGCCGGTCCCCTGCCTCCCACTGTACGTCCACTCAGCGCTCTCCCCACTGGAACTTGTCCTGTCTTCTCCCGCCTCAGCGACCGGCAGTGGCTCCCCTTTACCTTGAGAATGCAGTGCAGCATTTTTAAAAGAAAAGTTATTTGCGACTGCGCTGGGACCTCATTGCTGAGCAGAGGCTTTGTCTAGTTGTGGGGGCTGCTCTTCACTGTGGCGTGTGGGCTGGATGCAGTGACTTCCCTTGTGGTGGAGCAGGG